ATGAAAATGCGTAACTATGGGTCAGCCTCAAAGGCCGACTACTTCCAATTGGTTATTGCACCAAATGTAGAAAATCTACCGGAAAAAATGAAAATGAATAAAATCGATGAAGACGATGTGCTAAGCTCGGCCCAAAGTAATTCCATGAATCCTCATGTTATGACCGAAAGATTACAGAAATTCCAACATTTGCTATTGGAAAAGGTAAAGGAGGAACATGAGAAATTCCTTCTCTCACTGGATCCACCACTATCAATTCCCCGTGAAAAGGTAACACGTTGGCATCCAGACTTTGATTTGGAAAATTGTCCCGAAATTCCATTGGGCAATTTGCCACAACCACCCAATGTAGAGAAATATTCCTCGGCCAAGGATATTCTATCGACGGCCAGGAATCTCTTTAATTGTGCTACCCCTATGGAAAGGGCATTGGAGCGTTATGAGGCGAAAATTGAGGCCGATAAAGTGCAGGCAGAGAATAAGAAAAATATTGACAACACAAAAGCAGAAACATCCAAAGAACCAGGCAACAATAAGGATATAACCAATGACAAGGCGAAGGAAGCAGCAGCTACAAAGACAACAACCGATCCAACAGCAGCACCAACAACCCCAGCGGCGGCGCCGGCAGCAGATGCAACAGCTTCACTACTAAAGGGTGTACCCAAATCTCTATTGGAAAAAATTCGTGCAAAACAAGCTGCCAAGGCCTTAGATGCCATGACACGTCGTCCCTCACAGGATCAAGAGGCTGCCAACTATTCACGTCTACCCGAATTGGCTCGCCATTTACGCAATGTTTTCATTACCGAACGCAAAGGTGTTCTCACGCAAGAAATTGTCATTAAGAAAATCCAAAATAGTTTCCGTACAAGTCTGACCGCCCAAGAAATTGAAAAACATTTGAAATTGATTGCCAAAGAAGTACCCGCCTGGGTTGCATTCCATGAAGTGCGCAAAACTATGTACTTGAAAATCAACAAGGAAATGGATTTAACAAAAGTCATAGAACGCCTGGAAGCTGTGGCCAATGAGAAAAGTAAAATGTAAATGGCGATGGATCATAATGCAGAGCAATTATGCCGGGAACTGCAACTAATCACAGAGTACAAGGTTGATTTGATTAACGATCAGCCAACTAGGAATATTTTTGGACCCGCCCTCCCTCACACACCATTAAAAAAAACACACCCTTTATTTTGAATTCTAAGACATTGAAGTATGACAATTATGTCTTGATAATTTAATACCTCACATATATAAAATACGCTTTTTTGTACCACAACAAAAATTATATTTTTTTTCTTAATTATATTAGCATCTAAATCATCACATATCCTTAACTCTCACCATGAATTCACCTAATTGTTCTATATAAATATTAAAAAACACAAAATTATATTTGGACATTTATTTAATTTTATTTATGTTATAAGTGTATTTTTATTATTATATTTATAGTTATATCTATGCTGCATAACAATTCTCTCTAAGTTATTTGTTATACAAATAGTTTTTTAAGTACTTCTACATTGGGAAATTATTTATCCCCCTCCCGGCCCCACAAAAAACAACAACAAACTTATATACCTTTGGTACTACATTTTTGGAAAAACTTAAATGTTTAACAACCCCACCTCCACTACTACGCCAACACCACCACCCATTCATCACTAACAAACAACTAACCCATCATATTATTCTTTGTTAACCAACTGACCTGACCTCCCCATCCCATTCCTCTTCTTTGATTATTTATCCCATTTTCCTTAGAATTGTTGTTAATTGTTTAATAATTTTTTCATTAATTACTTGATTATAAAACAAAAACACCTAAACAAATTATTTACTTTATAACTTATGAATGTTCGTTAAGTATATATGTAGAGTTTAATTTTATTCAAAAAAACAAAAAAGTATATATAACTAGTTTACAATTTATTTTCTATAAAATTAAATAATAATAAAGTTTTGCTTATAATGGCAATAAAAGAAAATTTATTTTTGGAGTTCGTAGATTTTTAAATTGAAAGAAGGCAGGAAGAAAATAAGTGGGTTGCTAAAGAAACGAAGGATCACCATTCACAGGATATTTTATCCCTCTATGGTGTGTAATATTTATGGGTCCACTAGCATACCGGATCTCATCTTTGTGGGAGACTTCTATAGAAAATAAGTTATTCGTTGGATACCTTGATAGATTGGGAGATCTTTGCTGGAGACTTCTATAGAAGACGTTAGAGACTTGCTTCAAATATCAACCAGTGACTATCGCTAATCCTACCATAGGGATCAGAGCCTTAGCACTAACCTTCAAAGCCTTAGCACCAACCGCTTTACCTTTTTCAATTGCCGTATAATCGGGCTTTGATACAGATCCCTCCACACGTCGTTCACGCTTATGGATGACAGTTTGCGTTGGGGGCTTCGGGTCAGAAGTAAGCTTCACACATTTGTCAGAGACAGTGGGATTGGCCAAATCTGATACTTTGCTCGGTTCCGAGGTCTCCTTGGAGACTTTTGACAGAGCCGTCTGTTTCGGCAGGGAGATCCTATCCATCTGGAGCGTCCGGGTGAGTTCTTTCGAACGTCCTTACGAATTTCATCTTGCCCTTGATGAGATGAACCTCCCTCTACGAAGGCAAATTCGCTTCTAGCCCTACGAATTTGCGGAGGTAAGATACGGCACGTGCTTCGAATCGGATGCTTTTCGGGCAGTTCCGACCTTTGAATATTTTTCGGTTGTTAGCATGATAGCATGTAGGTCGCCCCCTCCCAGAACTAAGGTCCTGTCAGTCGTGGACTGATTTGCATCAGTCTTGACTTGCTCGTTTTCCATTTGAATTGCCGGGTTGTTATCTTTTTTTGGGGGTAAACACGATGCGGTGGTAGCAGGTACAGCTGCAGGTGCCAAGGCATCCATACCTAGAACAGCCGGATCACAATCGCTTGATCTAGACGACACGAGGCTTGTGGTTCCACCAACGATTGCCGCCTGTACTGGGTTGGCGTAGTTTGACCTAGGTCAGCTCCACCCTGCACATCGTAGAAGACGCGCCTAGTAGGAGATTGGCAACTCCCCTACCACTAACAACTCAATATGCCTACTAAACACCAATTGCATTAACTCCTGTGTAAGATACCAAATTTCTGATTGCCATCCTTGGGTTGAGTTACCTTAGACCTTTCCTTAGAAGCAAAATACTTTGGTACAGTCCTCGACCACAAACTAACGTGGAAAAGGAATGTTGATGAACGCATTAAGAACGGACAAATAGGAATCTACTCCTGCAAGGCAGCCTTGAATGCAATGTTGCTATATGTGCTTTGATGCTCCGGGAAACGGATGCATGGAAGTCGCTGAATTTTGGCCACGCTAGTATCCTTTACACGACGCCAGTTTTTTACTTTTTAGAGAGGAGTACTCACATCAATGAATTTACTCCCTCCCATAACGACTTTAACGACATCAGAGTAGAGTTGCCTAGTAGGGAATCCTGGACAAGTGGTCAGGGATAGACTATCAACATATATAGTCACCGATAACATAGGACCGGTGACTATATATGTTGATAGTCTCGCCGTAGAGCTTCTTCGCTGTTGTCTCATAGTAAGAGGGAGATTAAAATCCTTGTAGGAGTCAAAACAGGTTATTGCAAGATTAGATATCTTACTTCCAAATGTGACATTAACCGAGTGGATTATTGGCGTTTATGTGAGGATGGGGAAGAGCTAGAAACAATTGCAGGTGTCCATAGCGGTGGCAGAAGACACAGACAGTTCGGCAAATTTCTTCTCTAAAGCAGAACCCAATCAGATCCTAGGCTTTGTCAAAAATTTGGCATGGCTCAAGGTGTATTTAATAAGGTGTATGCATCAGATACAACAACAAATATTTTACAAAAACAACATTGTTGTTTGATTGTTGTTATAAAAATTAAATTGTCATGCTGACAATAAATTTTTGACAAAAATAAACAAAAACAATTATTAATTTATTTTTGTCAAGAATTATTTTTTGAGGAATAATTAATGAATTTGTGTATTCTTGGGTTATTGCGGTTTTAGGTCAGTGAAAAATAAAGTTTAAGACCTGGTCGCGATTAATTTTAAGTTTCCCACATGTAGCCTATGGCTCCTTGTGATGTTTATATTGTGGATTGCAATCTATTTTTTCTATGGAGTGGCTTCAAATCTTGCCATCTTAAAGAAAATTGAAGGATATATCCCCGGCCAAAGACTAAATCATGGAAATTGTGTTGACCGTATAAAATCTTTCCATAGGCGTATTTAACCTCCGCCGAGAATTGTGACAAGCACCAAGGGACCGATTCCAATATAGGCTAACATAATCTCGATTTTATGAGTAGCTGGGTTTTCTGGACAGATTTCCACACATAACATAAAATATGTGGACCAATCGGTGAACGGGGTTAAAACTGGGCCTAGGTTTCCTTTCTTGAATTTTTATAATTAAAAAAGCCTCAAATTAAAAACAATTTTTGAAATCGAAATGTAATATTGAAAATGTTTTTGACAATTTACTTTACAAACAATAAAGAAAATAGTTTGAAACCATATGATTGTCACTTACACCTTATTTAATACACCTTGGCATGGCTTCTATTTTTGGCAACTCCAACTATTTTTCCTCTCTTCCACTCTTTTTCCAATTAAAATTTTCAAAATTGTCGTGGATGGTGCTCACTCACACTTTTACAATCATAAATCAATTACCATTGTTTATGTTTTTATCCGATCCAATTTAGAACATATTGTGGATTTTAAATAATTTTTTGTCAGCAAGAGCTGATTTTTATTCTATCTGGCAATGTCATTTTCAAATCACCACCAAGCACATAGCAAATACACAAACCATTCATACCACATTATTTGGTGGTGAATTAAATGTCATTGCTTAGTTACATTAATGTTAATAATTCTCATATGCATTTTCGTCATCCGCTACATATAAATATTTGGTTTTATTTTCCACCACCGTGTAGTTTGAAAGGAGAGCCAGTTAGCACTCCCCTCGACAAGGATGGAATCACATTTAGGCCGGGATAGGCACAGACAAAGTCCCGGTCGCCAATTTTTTTTCGTTTCAAGAAGGGATTTTTATTTTTTTGAATGACCCACTGAGCAATAAGCGCGGATTTTTAAAAGAATATTTTTGAAGCGTGGAATTTTAAAAGAACATTTTTAAGCGTGGAAATTTAAAAGAATATTTTTAAGCGTGGAATTTGAAAAGAACATTTCCACTGAAACTCTCCATATGGACTCGATGACTGTTTATTTCATTCGCAGCTATTGGTCTTCGCACTATCCGAAGTCCGCGTTCAATAGCATTCAGCTTTGCTTCCCTCAGACGAATGTAATCCTAATAGCGTCACATTAGTGGAATACTTAACTCTAAAATGATTCTATGTATATCCTGAAAATTACTATGAATCTTTTGCATTTTACATACAATTGTAAAAAAGGAAAATTTAAATATTTTTTTTTCAAATTTAACAATTATTATTATTTAACCATTTTGACTAAAAACAAATGTGATTTTACTTTTTTTGTAACAATGTTGTGTAGATCTGGGGCTTACAAACAACCATTTAACAAATGTGTGTGTGTATGTATGTAGGTATGTCAAACTTAAAATTATTACAAAAACAATAAATAATTAAATAATTTTACAAAGTTCTTTTCACATTATTTTTTTCTATTACAAATCACAAAATGTATCTCTTCATCACATTCCCATCTGTATTTCTTCAAAATATTAACGAATACAATTGACAACCTATTTGTTTAAGGAAATTTGCTACGGCATAAAAACTTGAAGAGATCGCCACGAAAAGTGTTAACCAATCTAAAAACGAAAATGTTTGGGAACCTTTGGGTTTTATGTGCTGTTGCAGACCCATCCAACCGCCACGTTCCACCAACCAATGGACTAGATCATCTTCGATAATTTCTCCCACACCATCGACCAAACACTGCAAATAATCGTAGTGACCTTGACGTACACAATCGATGGCAAAGCCGCCACACACCGCAAACACAGAAATTATTTTGGCCCATGTAATGCGTTCCTTTTCGGCGGTGCTACGTGAGAATAGTTGCTTCGCCACTAGATTCATTAGCATGGGCGCTGTATCACTGTCGACCAGTTCGCCGTAGGGTGCGCGGGAAAGTTGCCGTGAAACATTTGTATAGATACGTGGATGCATGCGTTCAAGTTCTTCGCCCATCTGTGGGGGGTGGGGAGAAAGAGAAAATGAAAAATGTAATTAAAAGAAATTCTTGGTTAGTTAGTCTCATGGCTACTCACACTATTTAATGCCGGAAAGACTTCATAAACAACTTCTGATGATGGTTCTAATAAGCTACGCATTCTTTGTAGGACTTTACGATTTAAAACGCCAGCTCTTCGTAGGCGGGCTCTTATGTATTGACCACAAAGACATTTTCCCTGAAAGAAAAAAAAAATAAAATAATCAGAATAATGTGTGGAGAATAATGGTGTTTTTCAAGGGAATATATATGTAGGATGAGAGAGACTATAATAGATTGGATTCTATAAATAATATTTTTAAAGGACCAGCACAGTTAAAAAATGTATATTTTTGTAGGACTGACAGAGCTATAAGGGTACATTTTATACAGAATATTTTTGAAGGACCTACTGATCTATATAAGCGTGGTTTTTTAAAGGGATGTTTTTGAAGGACCTTCTAAGCTATAAGCGCGGATTCTTAAAATAAAATTTTTGAAGGACCTTCTAAGCTATAAGCGCGGATTCTTAAAATAATATTTTTGAATGACCTTCTGAACTATAAGGGTGAATTTTTAAAGGACCTACTTGGCTATAAGAGTGGAATATATTTGAAATACCTTTTAAGCTATTACCTTGTATTTTTAAAAGAATATTTTTGAATGGCCTTTTGAGCTATAAGAGTCGATTTTTTAAACGATTTTTTTTGAATGACCTTCTTAGCTATAAGCGTGGATTTTTAAAAGAAATTTTTGAGGGGCCTACTGAGCTTAAATAACGAATTTTAAAAGAATATTTTTGAAGATCCTACTGAGTGAATTATAAAAGACTTTTTTTAAATGAACTTCTAAGTAATAAGCGTGGATTTTTAAAAGAATATTTTTGAGGACCTAAATGGCTATAAGCGTGGATTTATTAAAAAAAATATTTTTGAAGGACCTACTGAGCTAAAATAACGAATTTTAAAATAATATTTTAGAGGGACCTACTGAGCTATAAGCGGGGATTTTTAAAAGAATATTTTTGAATGGCCTTCTGAGCTATAAGCGTGGATGTTTAAAAGATTTTTTGAGCTATAAGCGTGGATTTTTAACCGAATTTTTTGAAGGACCTAAATAGCTATAAGCGTTGATTTATGAAAGAATATTTTTGAAGGACATACGTAATTTTTTAAAATAAAATTTTTAAGGACGAGCATAGCTATAAGCGTGGATTTTTTAAAGAATATTTTTGAAGGGCCGGAATAGTTTTGATTTGATAAAATTTTTAAGGACGAGCATAGCTATAAGCGTGGATTTTTTAAAGAATATTTTTGAAGGGCTGGAATAGTTTTGATCGAGAAGTATTAAAGGAATGGTTATGAAGCACTTGCAGAACTATAAACGTGGATTTTAAAAGAATATTATTGAAGCCCTCACAACTGTCTGCGTGGATTTTTATTATGTCTTTGTGCATATGTTTGTAAAAGGCATAAATAAACGAGATAGACCCATGGTTCCTTTTGAGAATATGCATAGAATCACTTTCTGAGTCGATTTATGCTTGTCCGGCCGTCTGTAGATGTTAAATTGTAAACAAAGTATAGATCACATTTATGATCCGATTTGGATGAAATTTGTCACAAGACACTAAATAAGGACGAACTCTATTGAAATTGGAGGAAATCGGTACAGATTTAGATTCAGCTCCCATATATAATTTCGTCCGATTTTATGTAAATGGTGCCCCAAACTCTCAATATTGATCCGATTGAGACAAAATTTAGCACAGATTAATGAATTAGGTCTAGATTGATGTATGCGCAGTTTTGTTGAAATCGGTTCAGATTTAGATATAGCTCTCATATATAGTTTCGTCCGATTTTAGGTAAATAGAGCACCAAAGCGTCAAATTTAGGCCGATTGACACAAAATTTTGCACAGCATACTGAATAAGGTCCAAATTTATGTATGCGAAATTTTGTTGGAATCGGTTCAGATTTAGATATAGCTTCCATATATAGTTTCGTCCGATTTTAGGTAATTGGTGCACGGAACTGAAAAAAATTACCCGATTGGGACAAGATTTCGCCCAACGTACGGAATTTAGTCCATTTTGACATCTGTGAAGTTTTGTTCGAATCAGTCCATATTTAGATATAGCTCCCATATATAGTTTCGTCCGATTTTATATGAATGGTGCACCATACTCCCAATACTTTTCCGATTTAGACAAAAATTAGCACAGCGTACTGAACACAATCCAGTTTGATATGTGTGAAGTTTTGTTGAAATCGGTTCAGATTTAAATATATCTCCCATATAAAATTTTGCCGGATTTCATAAAAATGTTACACTAAAAATTCAAGTCTGTCCGATTGACATGCAATTTGTTTATAGATATCTGAATGGTATGGTCTTTTATTGATTCCAATATCTATGCATTTGTTTTTCTACCGATTCCATGTCAATGGTCATCCACATATGCCATGTCTCTTCTATCAACAGGATATTGTATACATTACCATCTCTTGTATGTATACAAAGTGGTGAAGGGTATTATATAGTCGGCCCCGTCCGACTTTTGAACTAGCCTTACTGGTTCAACCTGAGTACCAGTTATTGGGGACTCAAATTTGCTGGTGAATAAAAATAAAATAGATCACAGACAATTTTAAAAACCCATGTGCCTGTTTGTTTCTTAGAACATAACGTACCCGCTGACATAATCCCCACATAAAATACCAGATCGATTTTAGGAATATATTAAAAAATTGAACCGGAAGGTATAAACAGATTGAACCACGTAACGCCGTTTTTACTTGTTTAAGTAATTCGATGTAAAACAATTTTTGTTTAGGAAACTCTTCTAATTCAACATACACAAACAGATGTACTAGATCTAATCATACGAATATGGAGTTCAAGGTTTCGCTTTAAAAAAAGCTGTTGAAATATTTTCATTCAGTAAACGAGTATTTTTTAACATTAATTTAAATATTTATTTATTTATATTTTAAAATTGTGAATGTGTTTATAGGATAAACATAATGCACAGTTTGTTTCCTAATTAAAAAAAAAATAGTATTCTTTTTCGAAGTTTCTGCTTAAATAGGGAACCAAATTGAAATCTATTCGATAATATTTAAATGAGTAGAATTGGATAATAATTAAAGCAACTTTTGGAACCGAAAACCAAAACAGTGATAAATGTCAAGGAATGTGAGTGGAGTATATATTACTATCATGTGTATTTTTTATTCGATAATATTTTACACCCACATCAATTGTTTTTGTTTTTTCATCCTCCACTACTTACAATACACTTTACTTTTTGTATTTTTTGCAAACACGCACATATTTTACCAATTTCATTGGCCATTAGTGGTGTGTGTTTTGTTTATTATTTTCTTCTCTATGAATTCCATTCATAAACTAAACACTTGGTCTGGGTTAGTCAGTCATCCATCCTCGGGACGACAAGTGTATAGTTGCCTGTTCTTCTTCTTGGTTTTCTTTTGGAAACAACAAAAGAATTATTTGCACAGCAAGAATACGTGTCTAACTAAATTTCTTCTCACTCAACACTACTAAATAAATAAAAAAGAAAGAAAAAAACAATGTTCAGCGTGTAATTATTCAATGCCGAAAATAATTCACACTTGCGTTTTGTTTATAATATAATTTTTTTCATTATTTTTGCATTTTGGACGAATCGACAGTTTTTTTCTTTTAATAGAATGGTAAGAGCATGTTGTGAGGAAAAACTAATGATTTTTTAATGTTTGAGGGATTTTTTTCTATTTTTACAATAAAAATTATTTAATTGTTCGGAAAGAAATTGAAATGTATATCTTGAAAATAGTGAATTTATTTTATAAAGATATCAATCAATAAAAAAACAATCAAAACATAAAAAGATTCATTATTAAATCGTTTAAAGACAACTAAAATAAAGTTGTGGTCAGGATATACAAAAAATGGTGGCCTTTAAAAAATTCCTTGGGCTTCAATTTTTTTCCAGTTCCAATTAAAACCAGTAAGGAAAGTAGTATAATCGTACGGGTCTGACTATATGATATGCTTTACCACCTTAGCTATATTCAAGAGATGCATCCTAACAGACCTCGCATTTTTGAGGGCCATTGACATAAAAATGGACTACATTAAATATATGTATGATCTGTGTCTATATGTCAACCGACTTAACTAAGCGATTAATAACCGGGTACATTTGTATTATGTATATTTTTTCGTTTATAACTCATCGAAATAATCATTTCCAATCCTATAAAATAAATATTTTTGATCAGCGTAAAATTCGATGACGATTTAAGCATGTCCATCTGTCTGTTGTCTAGCCTTTAAACGAATTGGGGTAGATTGCCCAAAATTTTGCACAGAGTTGTATTTTGTCTGCAGGCAAGTCAAGTTCGAAGATGAGCTATATCGGCCCACGCATAGGCATATAAGGGTACCCCCAATTTTGGAGTTCTTGAGCGCACTATTGACGTGAATTTTCTTAAATTTGTTACAATGGGTTCTTATTGGGAATCAAATGGGGTTCTTGAGCGTGCTTTTCAGTCGAATTCGGTGAAATTTGGTACATTGGGTTTTCTCTATGGTACATCAATCCACACATATGTAACCTATGCCATGTACATGTCAATATAGCAGATTTAGATTCGTTTTCTGCAATGGGACACAATTATCGATTTAAATCAAACTATTCATTACGCTGCAACACAGAGCGCAGTTCAAGATATAATTACCAGTTCATCTATAATAAAGATATAATCTCCCGTTCATTCATATTCATCAGTTCATTTGCTAAAAATCTGACAAAAATATATATGGGAGCTATATCTGAATCTGAACCGATTTTCTCGAAATTCAACACACATCGTTCTAGACTTAATTCAGTACGCTATGCCAAATTTCGTGCAAATCGAAGGATATATAGGGAATTTGGTGCACTATTTACCTAAAATCGGACGAAAATATGTATGGGAGCTATATCTAAATCTGAACCGATTTTCACGAAATTTAACGCACATAATTCTAGACTCAATTCATTACGCTATGCAAAATTTCGTGCAAATCGAAGGATATATAGGGACTTTGGTGCACCATTTACATTTAATCGAACGAAAAAATATATATGGGAGCTATATAAAATCAGAACCGATTTTCACCAACTTCAATAGGGGTTGTCCTTGGGGCAAAAAATTGATCTGTGCCAAATTTCATCCAGATAGGATCATAAATGCGACCTGTACTTTGTTCACAAAAATACTTAGACGGACGGACGGACATGCATAAATCGACTCAGAATGTGATTCTATGCATATTCTCAAAAGGAACCATGTGTCTATCTCGTTTCCTTTTGCCTGTTACAAACATATGCAACAGAGACATAAAAACCTGTACCACAATGTGGTGAAGGGTATAACAATTCAAGGACTATTAAACAGGCACTTGGATATTTTTAGAGATCCAAAGATGTTGTGGATTTTTAATATAACATCTATATTATTTTGATCTTCGATTTGGTTTAGTTAAAGATGAGGGAATGTATGTGGTAAAAAAACAGCTCATCAAAAATAATAAATCGGGTTTTTTGTAAAAAAAATCTTTTCATCAAATTCAGCTCACACGTTTGTACATGAACCTTCCCCACATCATAATGTCATAACAAAGATTCATGAATGCATCACCAGAGGGGGGATAACTGCTATAACACAAATATAAAGTGAACCTATTCACCCACCGCAAAATTGATAAGACCGCTGGCGACCAGACCGACCACCAACCACCTAACCTGTCGCTTATTGTTCACATTCTTTTTTTGCACATAACAAATTTTTTTATATGTTTGTAGTCTCATTTGATTTTCCTGAATAAATTGCTGTACTTAGTGAACTTAGTTGGTGTCTATATACATAGTGGGTGTTGATCCCCCTTATTGCTCTTTGGTGTATTCAATTAAGTACCTCTTGCCGGCTGCATTAATCATGTGTTTGCTGCTTCTTTTGTTTACCATAAAATTATCAGGAAACAAAAAGAAAGCAAAATTTAATCGTTTTGATCATACATATGGGTGATACTCACCATGAAGTGAAATATTAGAAAAAAATCCACAAATGTTTGGAAAAAATGTGGACAATCAAACGATTGTTATGCGAATATATATTATTCGACATAATTTTTAATTGTATATATTATTACCTTGAATAATATACTTGACCCCTTTAGCAACTTCCCATTATTTTTTTTTACCCGCATTTCACACATTTCTTCCCATTTCAAAATTAGCTTTCTTAATTTTTGCTTCTTTGCTTCATTCCAAAAACCGCAAACATAGCTTTGCAATTTATTATTGTTATTATTATTATTTTTAGAGCAATGTTTTCATTTATTTTTTTTTTTGCTCCTCACCATATAGTACCAAAGGTCAACAACAGCAACAATAAATAGAAAAAAATTGCGACTCAGTACTATGTATATACAATTCAATTGTCAGTTTTGAAAATCCAGCGGTGCTTCTCCTCTGCTTTGTGAAATGACAAATATTTATTACTTTCATGTTTGGCTCTCTAATGATAGATTTATTAACCTTATCTGTTTGTATTATTATGGTCATGGCAATTACGTTTCATTCTTTGGAACATCCTATATAGATCAATCAATTAGCTTAAGAAAGCTAACAAGAAATAACAACAACAAAAACCGTTTCATAAACATTTTTTTAATTTGAAGTTTTAAATAATTGATTAGACGAATGTATTACACGTATAGCAGGTAATTGCACCCAGAGAAAAATATTAGTTCTTTGAAAATATATTTCTAAAAATCCATACCTATTGATTTAATAGTCACTAATTAACTAATTGTATTTTTTATTCAATTAAAAGGTTTGATCATTTAAACACAAATGTAAAACAGTTCCTGGGGTTTTCATTTTGGCGATTTATAGACAGCAGATCATTTATGCTGCTTTATAATGTTAATACTTCCGATTTTCTATTACATATGATTTCTATTTTGTCGGTTAAGCAGATCCAATCAATTGACAGTTCCCAGAGATATGGGCCTTTTATCACGATATCCTTAGAACACGCCTATATGGGGACAACACCAACACACGGAACAAATCATCTAACTACTTTAATAAAGAATATTAATAATTTTTGGAAGGGATATTTGTTATCATACACGACTACAAAAACCAAATTATAGGGAATTCGGTTGAAAAACAAACGAAAATACCGAAAATTGAGGGTGTCTTATATGGGGGCTACCCGAAAAAATAACCGAAATTTGGGGGGTATCGTTATATGGGGGCTACCAGAAAAAGTGGACCGATATTTTTAATTTTTAATGCAGACATTTGGTATACAAAGGAGGAGACCAAAGGCGTCTCTATGCAAAATTTTGGCTATCTATCTCAATTCCTTCAGCAAATAGCGTGATTACAACAGACGGACGGACGGACATAGCTATATCGTCTTAGAATTTTACCCTGATCAGAGAATTTTAGAATTTTACCTGATCAATTTATAGGGTCTGAAATGAATATTTCGATGAGTTACAAACGGAATGACAAAATTAATATACCCTCCATACAATGGTGCAGGGTATAATAAACCTATTTGTTATTTTTTGATGGGGTGCTTCAGAAAACAGGATTCTTAAGACCTTGAAATTGTTTCTTAAAAATCTACGCCTATAGTCCTTTATTATTATAGTCTGTTATTACTTTATATCCCTGCTACTTCTTAAAAATTATTCTAACAATAATTCACGTTTATAGATCTGCTACTGCTTTATAAATATTCTCTCTTATAAATCAGCAAATCCTTTGTTAGTATATTTGTAGCTCTTCTAACCTTCAAAAATATTTTCAGATTACGATTAAGATTTCAATTTTATATATTTAATAACTATTCGATACTCACCTGATTGATAATTTCATTTTTAAAATCATGATAATTACTACCGCCCGCCAATGGATATTGGAATGTACTGCTGGCCAGCGATGATGTTGAACCCGTTCGCGGTATAGTTAAAGCTGATTGATGTTGATGATGCCATTCCACGGAGGTGCTGGTCTGTAACGGTCGATGATGTTTGGGTCGACTGTGAGTTGTGGTCAGGAAGATTTCATGATCCAACGATGAGGATTTTAATTTGGCTCGTGCTAGCTTGGGTGCTGGGGGAAAGGGTGGTGGTGTATTGCGTATACGCGGGGTGGACGGTGGTGAAGGCATAATATTCCAAAATTATGACAATTTGAAATCTCTAAGTGTTTTTTGCGAAATTTTTGAAAGAATCTCGTTGAAAAGATGAATTTATGCTTCAGTTCCAATTGTTTTGTTCGTTCTGCTTTAAAGCCGTTACAGCAGCTTTTTTGTCTACTGTTTGGCTATGGCTAAGCTTGTCTTGATATGTGGGGTATGGTGGTGGTCAGCAGCGGGATGCTGTGTGTTTGGAGATAATGTTGTCTGACTGCTGCTCGATCGTTCGTTTGTCGGTCGTTTATTTTTGTTTTCTTTTTGTGATTGCGTTTCAGTTCTGTTGAACTACGTGTGAGCATGTAACCTTAGATCTGCTGCTTTTTGTTATTAGTAGTCTATTTTAAGTGTGTATATTTGTTGTTGTTGCTGGATTTGTTGTATCACCACACTGCAATGGAAAAATAACAATATTATAAATGTTTATTTTTTTTTGTTTTGCAATTAGAGATTTACTTGGCAAGCGGCAAATTTTACCTTGATTTCCGAACTGTAGTATTTCCTTGTCTGTGCAATTTTTCTGAATTAACTTAAAATGCTTTCTTTGGATTTGAGAATGCTGCTTCTTTCTACTTCTGCTTCAAGGTGTTGAAGTGTATTTATTTTAATTATATTTTTGGTATCGTTTTTTGTATTTATTATTTATTGACTGTCTGTAGTCTATTGTTTGTTATTGTTGTCGCTCTGTCTGTCTTTCACAATTTCTTTTCAGGTCTGTCCCGTACACACAATCGAAGTCTCGAATTAAAACAAAATCACGCACACACCAAATCGAGTCTTAATCAAAGAGTAATACGAAACGAATTAAGGTTTAAAAAGTAAAATACAACAATTTAAATATTCTCAAAATATAAAATGAAAAAAAAAACAATAAACAGAAACTCAAATAACAACAGTGCGAATAGGCGGCGGGGGGAGTAGCTACTGGCACACACAACTTGATCGATCAACCAACCAACCGTTTGTCGTCTGTCTCCAAAAAATATTCGAGATTCTCGTGCGTTTTGCCGTTTGTTTTTATTTCATTATTTTTTTTTTCTTTTTTGGTACTCCGTCTGTTTTTCTGTCTTTTTTTCCGCGGCCGCCGCTTTGCTTTCGAAAAGATCAATTGATCTTAGAAACCGTGTCGCTGTGCCTGGACTGACTGACTGTTGAGTCCCCAACATTTTCTGTGTGGAGCAGTAGTTAACAAGTTCAGTTAGGTGCTTAGGTGTCGTTGCCATAATCACCACCTCCCCACTAAGTGTTTGTGCTGGAGCGGTGTTGAACGAGAGAGAAATGCCAGGCATACCTGAACACTCTCGGCTAGTCTATCAGAATTAAGAGAAGGGGAGAATTGTTTATGATCTGCACTAAGAGAATAATTTGTTTAAAAAAAGTGTTGCCATTGAAGAAAGAAAATAGAAACGCCAAAATTTAAAAATAAATGTTTCAATATTTTATTTACGTAACTCATCGAAATATTCATTTCCGACCCTGTAAAGTATATATATTCATGATCAGGGTAAAATTCTAGACGATCTAGCGATGTCCGTCCATCTGTTGTAATCACGCTATCTTCTGAAGGAATTGAGATAAGGTGCTGAAATTTTGCATATGAATGTTCTTTTGTCTGCAGGTAAGTTCGAAGATGGGATATATTGGTCCACGTTTAGGCATAGCTCCCATATAAAAGTACCCCAATCTTCGGTATTTTGAGGTTCTTGAGCGCATTTTTCAACCGAATACTATGAAATTTGGTATATTGAGTTCTTATTGGGTACTAAATGTCTCCACAAAAAATTATAAATATAGGTCACCATTTTCTGGTAGCCCCCATATAATTTTCAGTATTTTGAGGGTTTTGATCGTATTTTTCCTCCGAATTGGCTGTTATTTAGTATTTTGAGTTCTTAATTAGTAACATGATAATCTAAAAATTCTTTGTTCCAACTTTTAATATAGCCAAGGTTTTTATAAGCCTTTTTAGTCCTTTAAACAATGTGTTATCTAAAGTTTAATTTATTATCCAAAATGATACCTAGATCATTAATAGAGACAACAGATTCCACCCTGTGTTCATTATGATAGTAATGAGAATCAACTTTTTTTCAATCTAAAAAAGGACATATGTTTACATTTTAGAATATTTAGTTCCAATAAGTTGATTTCACACCATTCATAAAAACAACAAATGTCCGATTGCAATTTTAGTTTATCCATCGGATTATTGAAAGAGTAAACTATGTTCACGTCATCTGCGTTCATTAATACATTAGAATGACATATTACATTTGGTAAATCATTTATAAATAGGGTGAATAATACTGGACCAAGATGGCTCCCCTGAGGAACACCAGAGGATATTGTATTTTTTTAGAAATAGCGCTTTGAAATTTTACCACTTGTACTCTGCTTATTAGATATGAGTTTATCCACTTCAATAAAGAGGGACTGAAATCAATTTTATTCAATTTTTGTATTAATAAATTTATATTAACTTTATCAAAGGCTTTGCTGAAGTTGGTGTATATGCAGTCCGTCAGATATTTTCTTTTGAATCCATCGTTTACTAAAGTGGTTAGTTGCAAAAGATTTGTTATGATGGAACGAGATTTCCGAAATCCATGTTGGTATTTCGATAAAACAGACGACACCTAAAATGATAATATGTCGGTGACAATTTTTTCGAAACAATTTTGGAATACTATTTAGTTTAGCAATTACTCTATAATTGCAGACCTCATTTCTATTTCCTGTTTTGAAAAGGAGAGTGATGTACGATTCCTTCCATATTTCTGGAAAGTCACCCGAGCCTAGAGATTTGTTGAATATAATGCATAATGGGAGTGCTATGTTATCTGCACAGTGTTTTAGAATACAAGCCGGAACACCATCCGGTCCATGTGTAGTTACACTTTTTATACTTTTAAGGCTATTTAAAACTACTGAAACATCAAAGTTTTGCACGGTTATTGAGGGATAATCAGAAATAGTATATGGATATTGAAATGAGACATCGTGAGTTTTATTAGAATAAGTGGTTTAAACGAAGGAGGCAAATAAATTTGCGATGCCAGCGTCATAACATGCAACATTTGTTCCAAACCTTAAAATCTTAGGGAATATTTTTGTCCGACGTTTTGTATTTATGAGACTATAAAAACTTTTAGGATTGTACAATAATTCCTTCTTTGTCTTCAATATATACGGGTATGTTCTGGAATTCACGGTGTGTTGTTTTCACTTCACACATACACTTCACCTCAGAAGTTACCTCCTGTTCTGGTTCTCACGTGAATTGAAATTTTCAACTGCGACAAAAATAAACGCCAAGCTGGTACTTTGCAGAAATAGTGTTGCCATGCATTATAAACTGTATTCGTTTTTAACATGGTTTCTCTAATTTTTTTTACTAATTTCGTTAGTTCTAACGATAATTTTGCTATTATTTTTTAATATTTTATTATTCGCAACATAAAATATATGTATGAAAGACTCTGTAATATCATTAATTTGTTGATTGATTTAAGAGGATCATATGGTAACCCTATCTTCTTCGGCCTTACTTCAAATCAGCTGTTTGTGTCAAGCGAGTAATACAGTTGAAGAAAATGGAACACAAACCTTAGTATCTATTTAAAATTTGTTTTTAAGGACGTTTTATCTTAATTTTGTGATTTTAAACTAATTATACGCAATAATAACATATTATTCTATCATCATGTGCCCTTTTTATTTCAAAAAAGATTTTCTTTTATATAGAAGAACATGAATACACCCGACTCTCATTATGAAAATGTAAGTGTAAAGAATACACCTCAAATGGGTGTAAAGTGTGTTACAGAACACCTCGGCGTGTGTTCGATACACTTCTGCCCTTGAAGTGAATGCCAGAATATGCCCGATAGTTTTTATACAACTTTTTATTTAATATTGTGTATTTCGACCTTGCAATACAGTAACTAGCAAAGTCTATAGATCTACTTTTTTTAAATTTTTTATATAGTTTCTTCAATTTTGATAAAGTTGGAGTATTCCATGGAGGTCCAGTGCTTTTTTGACATTTATTTTCGGAAAAGTTTTAGATATGAAATCATTTAATTTATAATAAAACATATGCACCATTTCATTTAGAGTATTACATGATTGAAGCTTAGACCAGTCAACAGAGCTCAGTAATAAATTCAGTTGAACATAATTAGCTTTTGAAAAACAGTATTCTGATTTACTGGGTAAATTATTTGTTTTTTGAAAATGTTTAATAATTATCCATGTGTAAATTCATTCTTGACATACTGTATATATACACTCCCAAGTAATATTTCTTGAAGCAATATACCATAAATCATCGTTGTAGACACCGACTATTTGCGTTTAAATAAAAATAATAGATTAGCAACACTTGTTATTGCTTCGACAAAGCTTTCACATTTGAGCTTTCAAATGATCAGACAAAACCCAACACACAGCCGTTATTTTCAAATAACTTTATAGCTTTTCTATGGTTTGTATAACAGATTTTATAACAGTTGTGTGTTTTTATTTACCTGTAATTCTGTCATACACTTTTGGTACTAAATAAGTAACAACAAATCTAATAAACATATAAATTAATACTAAACCAAAAATACTGCCAACAATAATGGTGGTCCATTCCAGGGGATTCAATTTATTCGTGGCCGGATGGACGTGATTGTTGATGCCAACCTATAAGGAGAAGATAAAAATATTATTAAAAAGATATACAAAAGGAATGGGTGTTAAAAGTCAAAAAGAATAAGTGGAACGTCGCCACATTATCTAAAGCTTCCCGTCGTGTGTTACAAAGAGAAAGCTGAGCCTAACCAAAGTAAGGCCTTTAAATATTTTACCAAAAATTAAAAAAAAAATATATATATTTTTGCTCATTTTCCATATTTCAAATCCATCTTACCCATCCACCATTTTCATTAATCCAAGGCACTAATTCATCTTCAATGACATCGGAAACACTTTGCATTAATTTCGGCAAATACTCAGGATGTCCCTGGCGAACACAATCCACCGATAGGCCACCGGCAATGGCAAACAGTGAAACAATTTTACTCCATGTTATATCCATGCGGAAAAGTTCACGAGCCACAGCGCTAACCAGAAGTAATACCGTGTCGGCCGATTGGAATTCCCCACCTGGGTTTCGGCAAATTTGACGAGCCACACCGGTATAAATGCGAGGATGCATGCGTTCCAATTCATCGCCAAGCTGAAAGAAAGGAAAACAATTATTATTTCTATTAAAAAATTCTGATAAATAATCATTGCACTTACCACCATAACTGCGGGAAATACCTCCCGCACCACTGACATAGTCGATGTACCCAAAATACTTCGAATCCGTTGTAGCCCCAATTTCTTATTAAAAAGCCCGGAACGTCTTAAACGCCTTTTTATGTATTGACCACATAGACAGCGTCCTTGCGAAACAATTTCCTGGGCTGGTATTTGAGCACCTTTCCATCCGATGGTATAGGAGAGTTTCCTGGTGACCACATCACTGACATTACTTAAACGACGACGTGTTGATATTTGATTAACCTCCAGTAGATTTGCAGAATGTAGCGTTGCAGGAAAACTAAATTTTCTTCTCGATTGAATACTCGTCAGGCGATCATTCATTCCGGGAGGTTGTAGAAAATTTGAGCCATAGCTACTACTACTGCCGTAACCATTTTGATTGTTATCATTGTACGAACCGGAATTGGACATTCTTTTGTGGGGGGATGTTAGTAAGTTTTTTACTGAAATGGAAGAAAGAGATAATTTATTGTTTGGATTTTGGAATCAGTAATAAGGAACGAGTCTAGACGAAATATACCCGCGTAAAACGATATTTTTATTTACTTCAAATTGTATTTATATCGAAGTTATCGGGGAATTGCATCTGCTAAGTAAATTCCAACGTATCAATTGAATCCTCCCGGGTATACATCTGTTTTTGTACAACTTTCGGAAGCTAAGTACATGGCTTTGAATATTACGGTGCCGGACAACATTTGAGATATCAAATTAACCAGTTCGAGAGTTCAACACCAACACGTTAAACGTTGGGCGCCAAAAAAGTTTTACCGATTCTAAAGTTGTTTTAAATGAACTTACAACGACAAATTACTGATCTCGATCACAGCTTGCCAGAGTTAATCATTATCCGAAGCATCTATAAAATCATTTCTGATATACAGCTTTGAAACTTGACTTGTGTCTAAAGATTGCCTCAGATTCATATCCACAAAATTCTGGTCCAACACCATATACAATTTAGAGCTGTGGAACCCATATAAAAGCAGAATAAAAGTTGGAAATTTGGAAATGTTCCTAGAATAACCAGAATGAAACTTGAATGGAATCCACAAGGATCACGAAATCAAGATCGGCCAGGAAACACAAGACGCAAATACGTCGGCAACTAACCGAGCTTTTTTAGAAGCCCCATGTTCCTAAGCTGAGTAACAGAAAATTACTCTGAAGTTCAATGGTGATTCACTTATCTCTGTTGTTTAAACTGACTTGTCGAAAAATGGAATTAACTTCGATGTGGATCATAGATCTATCCGTGACTCCAAAAATGAATCGACCGAAATTTTTGGATCTGCCTCTTCATAGTTAAGAAATCATGGATCTAATCCTATCTGTCTCCTTCTAAATAACTCAGAACCGGTGTGTGTCGTTGATCTGCCCACGAGTGACGCCCCGCCGTTATCGTGCAACCATCTCCTACAGTTGTGTCGAAATTACCGCTACAAGCAATCAATGGATCTGAGTTTAAGAACAGCGGGTACTCAAATTCCGAGCGTTAATAACGGAGGAGTGTAGAGGCCGATAAGATGGTCGAGGAAGTGAGTAAGGATATCGCTAAGTACACAACAAGGAAGAAACAGTTATATGGGGCACAGAGAAACTGGTCAAATTGAACCGGAGCAACAAATGCGAATATCAAACGAATGCTCAGACGGATAATCATGCCCTTCCCTACACTTCTTCCGAAGTGGCTAAGATGATTGGGTCTCCGGAAGAGCTGACTAGTGCCAAGCCCGTCAAAAAAGAAAAAGAGTTTACCGTCGACTGATAGGATGAAATACAGAAGCGAAAAGTGGCCAAATTTAACTGGAGGAACAAATGCAAACAGCAAACGAATGCTCAGAAGGATAGTTCTTACCTTACCACTACTTCTTCGGAAGCGGCGAAGAGGATTAGGTCTCCGGAAGAGCAGACGAGTGCCAAACCCATCAAAAAAGCTTCCGTCGACTGATAGCAAGAAAAGCAGAAACGAAAACTGGCAAACGAATGCTCAGAAGGATAATCCTGACCTCCACTTCTTCGGATGCGGCGAAGAGGATTAGATCTCCGGAAGAGCAGATGAGTGGAAATCACGCTGCGAATTCAAAGGGGACTATCTAATGCTATTGACAATTTGAGTCATCAAATATCATAGAAACCGTTAAGAAACACATAGAGGACTTCAGGCTTGGCATATTAAGTTGGGTTTTTTTTTATTGTAAAAGTATGTGTTTCCCCTTTTAGGAAATTCTAACTTCGTATTTCTCTTCTCTTTAGCTTTCCATTAACATTCCAGTTTTTCCATTTCAATTGTAATTTTGCAATCTGGACTTCGAAATCTGTTTTAGTACAAACACTAGCATTATGGTTTATGATAATTAGGTGCAAACTATTTGTACACTTCCAAGTATTTCAACATCACGACTTTGTAACTTTTTTCTGTTGTTTGATTTTCGTCTCATGTCTTGACAATTAATTCCCCACAACTGTTTATGGCCGCATCGAACCAAAACTGCAAACAAATGCTGCAGTATTTGCAAAAGCAATGGACATTTATAGGATCATAGTAGAGTAGACGAAATGGGTTTGTTTTATATGGAAATGGAAGTCGAGTTGCTGTAGAGGTACGGGCACATGAGAAAATGTGGGAAAACTGAAACTGGGAGAGGGTATGTGATTTATTTTGTGCTAGGGAGAAATGGTCTCCAATTAACAGACTTGGTTTTGAAAATAAAAAAGGACGACCATTAAAATAAGTGATATAAAACTGCATCGAAGAAGGATCCATCTAATAATATTCCTGATCATATTCAAACAATTCAGCTTTTCTTTTTCCACCATTGTCTTCTATATTTAGTTTTATCTAAGCTTCTACAGTCTATTAGTTTTCTACTCATCATTTTCAAGAAGATATTGCTTAGAATTCTCAGTATCCTTTGGACACAATCTGAAATATCCGAGTCCTTTTTTAAAGGTTTCTCATTCATTCTCAAACCCATATGGAGGATACTTATAAACAAATAGTAATAATGCTGAGTCAGAAAGAGACCTCAACAAAGAAAATTGTAATGACTGTGAACATCTATCCTGAGGGTGCTTCATATCTAAGATCAACAAACAGAAGACAATATACCCAGGAAGTGAAATTTCCGCCACCGACGAATTTCAAAAGACTCTTGCCAGGACTGCAATGGAGTAGGACACAAAATGGCGGGATGCTGAACTTTCGCCGGCTTCTTATTAAAGTTAGTATCATTCCGGATTCATCTTCCAGGCCAGACCATTTGCAAAATTTTTTATAGCGGCAATATAATCTAGAATTGGGTCGTTCCTGGTCGAACTAGTTCATTCGGTAGTAGGCCCGAATATTTCATTTGCCCCTCCACCTAATTAACTGACGTGTACTAATGAACGATTGAATTAAAAGGAATTATCGAACTAAATTGGGCTACTTTATACAGGCAACATAATCTTCGTCCTATCTTTTCTTTATCTCTTTATTATTTTCTTACCGGGTATTTAATCAACCCTTAACATCATACCATTTTTATTTAATGGCTTCTGCCATGCCATCTCTCTTGGGCAGCTTAGCACCTGTGGTCACTGGTTTCATCTTCCAGGACGTTTCATAATGGCACTATAATCTAGAGTTCGGTCGTTCCGGACTATTTTATTCGAAATAATCTGCAAAATGAATTATCGGAATAAGATCTGGATCTTTCCTTTTGCTTCTTGACCTAATTAAATGACGTGTATGATTGAAATAAAAAGAATTATGAAACTAAATTGAGGAGAAATTCGCTTCAGGGTCGAGATTGCCCAAATCTAACTAAATCTTTTTCTTTGTTTAGGCGCCATTTTCGGATACTGGCTTTATCTTCATGGCTGAACAATTCCCAATTGTCGGTAAATTCTTCTCCCCTTATCTGTTCAGTTCGTTCTGGAACGAAATAGTTCAAAGTGTGTAATTTGGACATAAATTCGATGTGCAATGTTGCCAACCATGTGAAATATTATAAGAAAAAATTCGACAGATGGTCGAAACAAATACAAAGGTTTTTGTTTTGATACATAAACATGTTATTGCATCATGTTCGTAACTGACCTGCACCAATGAACGATGGAACTAAATGACAAGTTTCTTTTGCGCAGCGAATCTCTCCAGGAACGTAATTGACTTCAAATTTAGTCTTAGACGTTCTTCAGAACATTTGCAACACAGTCAATTTGACGGAAATGAAATACATTTGGAGTTTTTTTCCTGAGAAAAGTTCTTTTGGAGTTGTATTCATGTTTAGTTCAGTTGGACATTAGAGTTCTTTTTAGTGAACTAGGTCGGTCTTCTAGAGACAGCTTTCTGTAATTATGCCATGCGTCATACAATTTTATGGAACTATATGTCATAAAAAAGTTTCAGAAGAGTTTATGAACCTATAGAGTCTAAACACACATTTTCGACGGCGTGAAAACCAAAGAGACTTTCTGCAAAGCTCTTCCAAATTTCTTCCTTTTTGATTGTGTTTTTGTAATCAGGACATTCCAAATTATTAAAAATGTTCTATTTTTTATTTCCTCGATTAATTTTTCTTCCATTTTATAATTAATTCCTTATAAAACGTCCACAATCTTTGAAAATATTTGTTTTTTAACAGCACTGTCATATGTTTTGATATACATTCCCATTGAAATGTTGGTAGCACTGCTGATTTTTATCTAAAATTTGGCAACTCAATTGAGAACAAGAGACACAATTTGAGTATGACGCTGAGCAACAATGAATAACATCTATTCTGGCGTCAAGTAGCTAGACCGGATTTCCTGTTGCCAATAAGAAACACACGGTAAACGGCCGTCGCTGGCTATAGACTCCCTGGTTGTGTTTAGACTCTAAGACCTAGTTCGTTCGCTCTTTTCAGCGAATCGTTCTTTTGAACTAGTTTATTCGTGAACTGTTCAACTCTATTGGACATCTGGACATTGGAATATATGCTGCAGTATGAACTAAATTTGCTTCTGTCATTAAAACACCTCAAAAGAGCAGATTAAGCTATTCCGAGAAAGGAACAATCAGAACTTGTTACAGCTCTTTAGTTCATTATGCTCCTTCACTTGATCCCATTTTTTATCTTGTGGGAGCGAACTATATTAAGGAACTAGTTCCTTTCTAGAAAATGAATGGAACAGTTCAACTAAGGTTCTATTAATTCTCTGCGCTTTTTTTTATGAAATATATAAAGATTATTATTAAAGGTAGATAACAGACTATAAAAAATGCAAAGAATGCTGCAACTTGTCATCTTTGGCATGTTCATCCATTACAAGCCTTTTAGTACGTTTACATTTAACCGGATTTCGTTAACCCAGTGGGTTTCAATTGTCAATTCCTTTGCATATACGTCAAATAAATCCTCATAAAGTAGGTTAACCCGGTAAAAAGTTATA